CTATGCATGAGATATATGCTACAAAATTACAAATATTTCTAAGAGATGATATAATAGTTACCTCTTTGGATGGATCACCAAAATCTCACCATCTTTAATATAGTTGTAATCCCTTGGGCATGATACTTCTCTTTCCTATTTAAAAGGCTTCTCAAGAGAATCTTGTGTTTGTTCTTGCATATACTTTTTAGATGATGGTTCGCTAACTTCATTTGATGTCATAATACCTACATCATCGTCCACACAAGACTCCTTCCTCGGAAGGGGGTTATCATTGAAAATAACATGAATATACTCTTCTACCACTAGAGTTCTTTTGTTAAAGACTCGAAAAGCTTTAGAATTCATGGAATGTCCAAGGAATATTCCTTCATCACTTTTTGCATTAAATTTGCCAAGATTGTCTTTTCCATTATTTAAAATAAAACACTTACATCCAAAAGGATGAAAATAGATAATGTTAGGCTTTTATTTTTAAATAGTTCATATAAAGTTTTCTTTAAAATAAACCTAATTATTATTGTGTTTATAATATATCAAGCAGTGTTAGTGGCTTCCGCCCAAAAATATGTAGGCAAATTATTTTCACAAAGCGTGGTTCTAATCATCTCCTCTAAAGTTCAATTTTTCCTCTCAACAACTCCATTTTGTTGAGGGGTTCTAGGAGCTGAAAAATTATGGCTAATACCACAAGAGTTGAAAAATTCTTCAAAACCAAGATTTTGAAATTCGGTTCCATGGTCACTCCTAACATTAGAAATTGAGTAACCTTTTTTATTTTGGATTATTTTAGAAATTGTGGTGAATTTATTTGAAGCTTCATCCTTAGAACTTAAAAATAGAATCCATGTGAATCTAGATTAATCATCAACAAGCACAAAAGCATATTTTTTTCCACCCGAGCTAGTAGTCATAATAGGCCCAAATAAATCTATGTGAATCAATTGCAATACTCTACTAGAGGAAACATCATTGATGGATTTAAAGGAAACTCTTTTATGCTTACCCTTTACACATGCATCACAAATTTTGTTTAAATTAAATTTTAGCTTTGGTATGTCTATTACTAGATCGCTTTTAATGAGTTTATCCAATATGCTCATTCTAGCATGTCCTATTTTTCTTTACCATAACCATGAATCATTTTCATCTCTAGCTAATAGGTATACATTTGAGGAAATAATATCATATAAATGCACCATGTAAATGTTTCCTACTCTATGACCAACAAACATAATCCTATTAGATACAATGTCAACAATTTTGCAACCATTAGACTCAAATAAGACATTGTATCCCTCATCACATAATTAACTAATACTAAGTAGATTATACTTTAACCCATTCACATATAAAACATTTTCAATAAGAATGAAAAAGTAGTTACCAATAGAACCAATTCTTTCAATGTGACCTTTTGAGTTGTCACCAAAGGTTACTACTCCTCCACTTTTGTCTTTAAGCTCCAAGAATCGACTCTTATCACCAGTTATATGTCTTGAGCATCCACTATTAAGGTACCATGAGTTCGCACTTACGTTTTAGTCATTGTAACAATGCTCCTCCACCTACAAACATAGATTATTTTTTTATTTTTGGTACCCAAATTCTTTTAGGTCCATAAGCATTAGTTCCCAATAATCTAGTCCCCTTAGGAATCCATTTTTTTAGGATATACTTGTCCTTAGTAGCAATGAGTTATTTGGGGACCCATATGCTCCTATAACTTTTTTATTTGAGGTTCTTTGGGGACCTCTATGTTTGTATTGTCCAAAGCTATTTTTAACATAGTTGGATTTTGAAGTTTGACCTTTATGAAATCGAGTTGATCTAACTTTGTTAAAAGAAGCTTCAAGGTCATCAAGCTCCTTTTGATGTTCACCATGAACTTTAGAAATTAAGTTATGCAAATCTTTTTTTTCTTTTCAAACTCATCAAACTTGACTTGCATATCTTTTATCTTACTTTCAAGTTCATCATTGGTCTTAGATAAGATATCATTTTCATTTTTCATTTTTGAAATGTTTTTCTTATTCCTTGAAATCACGATCTTAAATTCTAAGGCCAATCCATCATAGGCCTCTTGTAGTTCATCAAAAGAATATTCATTTGAATTTAATGGACTAGAGGTTACCTTAGTTTCTCCCTCGATGGCATAAGACACAAGTTGGATACTTCTTGTTCTTCTTCATCGGAGCGTTCTTCATCGCTCCATGTAGCTACATGTACCTTTTGTGCCTTCTTGGTTGACCCTTCTTTTTCAATTGAGGACACTCAAACTTGATATGTCACAGTTTCTTGCACTCATAGAAAATGATGGGGTCCTTCTCTTTAGATTCATTCTTGAAGCCATTATTTCTTTGAAATCTTTATCCTTTATTGGGCCTCATGAATATCATAAATCTTTTTGCAAACATTGTCTTTTCTTCATCTTAAAAAAATCACTAACTTGTTTGGTTGACTTGAGAGCAATCCTGACTTTCTTTTTCTCTTCTTTTTCCTCATTCTTTTGAAGTTTCACTTCATGGGTGAGTAAAAATCCGATAAGTTCATCAAGGGTGTACAACTCCAAATCTTTGGCTTTTTCAATAATGGTTGTTTTGCCTTCCCAAAATGAAGGTAATGATGGAAACATCTTTCTTACCACTTCTTCATTTAGATAGATCTTCCCAAAGTTCCTTAAATCATTGATGATGGCAGTAAAATGATCCAACATCGTTTTAATGTCTTATTCGCCTTCATTATGAAATTCTAATAGTTGAGAGTGAGAATTCCTATCTTCGACTTCTTCACTTGAGTTGTACTCTTATGTGTGACTTCAAGTTTATCCCAAATCTCTTTTACATTTGAGCAAGAAGACACCCTACTATATTCATCAGGGCCAATTTCACAAAATATGATGTGTATGGCCTTTGCATTGAGTTAGACGAGTCTTTAGTTTTCATCGGTCCATTATGAATTTACCTTCGGAACAAAAAGCTCTCATTGCTTCTTGGAATGAATTGACACTCTGTCAGTGGTAACATCCGACATCGAATAATCCTTAGCTTGAATGAATAACATCATTTTATTCTTCCAATAAGAGTAATTTTCACCATTGAAATATGGATGCTTTGAAATAGATTGAGACTCACCAAAAAAGTCGGAAGTAAATGGAATGGCCATTGTAGATGAACTGTTTGAGTTCTTCCAATGATCTTCTCAAGAGGATGTTAAGTCTTACAATGAGATTAGCTCTGATACCAATTGTTGAGTTAATCGAATCAATGAAATAATCAAGAGATGGTGAATTGGTGAATAAAAAATTGATGGAAGCTTTTTGTAAGAAAATGAAAAATTGAACACAAGCAATTTTAGAGTGGTTTAACTTCCTCAATAAAGTTTCCATCCACTACCTTAGTTTCCACACAAGGATTTCAACAAATTCACTAATTTTTTCAAACTTTTTAGGACAATGTGTAACCTTACAACACACTTAGACTTATACCCCAAAGTTTCAAATATACAACCCTTCCTAAAAAGAAACTACAAATAGAAAACTTAGAAAACCTCATAGGATGTGTTTGCACAATTCAAGAACAAATAAGAACACTCAACAAAATAAAACAAATGAGTACAAAAGTGCTCTTTGAAAGAAAAAAGAATATTGAAGAATGTTAACTTGAGGCTTAAATCGATTGTTTTAGTTTTATCTATGATCTCTTGTCTTCATATATGAATTGGAATAATGTTTTTATACCTCTTCATTCAATTCTAGCAGTTTGGGTTGTTGTGGAAGTTAATAGAGTCATTGGGAAGAATTCTCCTACAATAAATGCTGCCCAGACGTCTTGAGTACCGATACTCAGGCTTGGAGTATCGGTACTTCTTGCATTAATTATAAAAATCTAACCGTTGAGAAAAGGAGTGTATCGATACTCCCCATATTGAGTATCGGTACTCGTATCGATACTTAGAGAGTATCAGTACGAAAATAACCTACTAGAATAGTGTTTGTCAAAAAATTAAAGAGAGTACCAATACTACTATGTAATTTTACACACAAGAATCGATACCTATATTGGTATTGTTGTGTCTTTTTGTACATTGGTATCGATACATGTAATAGTACCATTAGAACAATATCAGTACTGTTCTTGAAGTATCGACACTCTAGGGTTAAAATTTGATTTTTTTTACTTGATTAAAATCTAAAACCCTTTGTATAATGTTTGAAAATTATTTCCAGTACATGACTTGAGTTTTTAAAAAAAGTAAGAAGTAAAGATAGAGTTTTTGACTTTAAAAAGAATTTTTTTATATTCGAATGGTTGAATCTAATATAAACTTGAAAATTTTATTAAAAATAATCTCAAAAGTTCTTAAAAAAATATGTACTTTTGGTATATCAAAATCTCAAAGCATGGTTGAACATATTACCTTTTGATTGGATTGAAAATTTATTTAATTAATTAGATTAAAATAAAAAAATTAATACATGTCACAGTATCATTAAAGAATTAAATTTATTAAATAAAATCAAAATTATGATTAAATTAAATAATTTAATTTATTAAATAAAACTAAAAGTAAAATTAAATTGATTGAATGTATAAGTAATAAGTAATAAATGTATAAATATACAAATTTCTTTTAACTGTCACATTAGCTCCTCCGTCAGATGTTAACGGTCGTTGATTGTAGTAATACTTAAATAATTAAGTTATATGATTAATAAAATTGAAAAATTAGTGTCAGAATAAAAATGGTAAATAGTTAAGTGATTATAGGCATAGTTTACCCTTGTTTTTATAATTATATATAGTAATTGAATCAAGTTATTAAAAAGTTTAATGACTTTAATGTTTGTTTTAAGAATTCAGTGAAACAATTTTCTTAAATGTTCAGGGACTAGTAGCGTAGTTTACCCTAAACATGATATATACACCGAACTAGATTTATTAGACAACTGTAGTAGTAATTTAAGAGAAATAATAAAGCAGATTCCAAATACACTTGTTACAAAAAAAAAAAAAAAAACACTGGAAACTAACAGGATTGAATGATCAAGGCACAAACTTGAAATAATCCTTGGAATTTCTAAACCCCAAAAACCCATTATCCTTACTCTTATTCATACTAGACAGCGGCGCCTCCGCCTGCGCCGACAAGATTATATCACAAACCACCACGCCGCCACCTCCTCCAACCTCGTCTTCTGCAACTGCTTCACCTTCACCATCTCTTCCCACACTTTCTCCTTCCCTTTCATTATCTTCTCCAACCCCAAGTTCTTCCCTTCCTCAAATCCATATTTCTCTATCCCAAACTGCTCCGCCAGGGTTTTCCACAGATGCTTCCACTTGAAGACGTCGCCATTGTTCACGTCTAGGGTGTCGGATAATGGGAGGATTTCGGCCAAGCTGTTGCCCACAATTCCGGTCGCTCCAATTACAAGCGCAACGCTTTGGAAACCTCTCGGGGTTTCCCTTTCCTCAAGTTGCTTCTGTAAAAAAAATGGTAAAAGAATTTGGAGAGAGTAATATTAAGGGTGAGAAAAATAAAAGCTTGCTGTCATATCATCTTCCTCGGGTGTTTGTTACACTTAAAAAAAATTAATTCGAGGAAAGATAATGAAATTTAAGTTTGAAATAATTTAATTTTATAGTCTTCATCAATCTTTAAATTAGGTATGTTAAATACTTAAAATATTATTTTAATGAGTTCATAAAAAATTGTTAAAAGATGAAAGAAAATGATTTACGTTTTACCAAAAATTTATTTTCAAGAGTTTGAGAGTCGATTACGTGAGGAAGGATGTGCATCCCCACAACGTCCAAATTTAGTACCTAAACGATTATATGATGTTTAAATGTTTAAAAATTAAAAACTCGAAAATATATTTAAATTAGAATTCTTCTTTTTATTCAAATTTATTTAAAAGATGTCAATTTAAAAAAAAAACTAAAACAATGTTTCTTTTGCAAATATGGAATTTGATAACAGATGATAAATGCAGTAGGTATAAAAACAATTAAAGAGCCTAAAATATATTTTGTAGAATAAAGGTGTTTATTTAACCCAAAAAATTATAATTATTTTTATAAGAGAAATCACATCATTTTGTATGAACAATCATTGAAAATGCAATTCCTTTATAGTTAAGAGTATTTTTCATAGATTCTCCTCACAAAATGTTGTTTCTTTAATTTTATGGATAATATAATTTAAAAGAGTATGGTATTATATTAAAATTTTAAAAATGCTCGGATAAAAGAATATTTTTTGTGCGAACAATCTTCGGGAATGCACTTCATTTGTAGTTAAGAGACTTTTCCATAGATTCTCCTCATAAAAAGACATTGTCTTATATATTTTTATCGATGATAAAAATAAAAATAAAATAAAAATAGAACGAACGAGATAAAATAAAAATAAAATAGTAAGATAAAAATAAAGCAAAAAAATAAAAACATAAAAAAAGACTATTGAATACAAAAAATAACCTTTTGTGCAAAAAATTTTCGAAAGATACTTTCTCTTGTAGTTGGAAGATTTCTTCATATCTCCATCACAACAAAGTTGATCTTTTCTATAAATAAAAAATGATGATTTATTTATAAAAAAATAAATAAAGTTTGGATAATAATATAGATATGAATATATATGCAAAAAACGATAAAAATAATAAAGATAACCAAGTTAGATTTCAAATCTAAAATATGAGTCAAATATCAGTAGCCTACTAGCATAAACAATGGACTAATATGAAAACTTTATAAACTAACAACCAAGATTGAAATACCAGCCAAATAAGATAATAAATAAATAAGGTTGAAACATAAATAGTGAAAAGTATAGGCATTACGAAAAAAGAAACCACATGCAATATCACTGACTAAAATAAAATGAGATGCAAGTTAAGATACTTAAATGAAAATACAAAAAATTAAATATTGGAACTGAAATAAAATATTGGAAATTAAAGGGGCAAAAAAATAAAATACTGAAATTTAAAGTGTTGAAAAAAATAATTAAAAGACAGAAATAAATTGCATAAATTTAAAAGTTAGAGGTTGGTTTTAACTGTTTAACCCGAACCATAAATAATGTGGGTCGTCTCTCAAGACGGATCACCGTAAGGTCGTTGAATATTTAAATATTAAAAAATAGTCGGTTACTTTGTGGAATAAAATAAGATGTTAGTAAGTTAGCAAGAACAATAAAAATAAAAAGTTAGTGTGTTAGTATGAACAAATAAAATAAAAGTTAAAATTTACTAAGTTAGAAGTGAGTGGTTAGTAGAGTCTGAATTATAATAATGTGGATCGTATCCGGATCGGATCATCACAATATCGAATCAAATAAGAAAAACAATAAATAAATAAATAAACAATGGTTAGAATGCGAAAAAATAAAAGTCAGTGATTAATGTGAGATAAAATAAAAGTTAATAAATAATACAAAACATACAAAGTATAAATCAGTGACCAAATTAAAAATTAATAAAATCAGCATGTATATTCGAAAAAAAAATAAGTGACCAGAATGCAAAAAGGGACAAAATAGAGGAGACTTACAGGTGATTTTCCCTGATAGTGATAAAAGCGTGAAACATGTTGAAATTGAGAGGACTTATTGTCGATTAGCCCTAAAACTAGTGATCAGAACGTGATGTAGAGCAAAAACCCGGGTGCCTATGCGTGGTTAACTCAGAAATTGAAAATAGACCAACTTTCTCCCAGAAAACACGTGAAATCCCAGCCTTCTTTCTTCCCTAAGCCAAACGGCCGCTGCACGTAAACCCCACGACCATAAGACGCCGGCCACCAAGAAACGGCGACCCTACCTCTCTGAACCGACGACCGAAGCACGGGCAGTCGAAAAGACTCCCAAAACAACCTACTCCCCGTTTCCTCTTCTCCTTTCTTCTCTCGGCCGACGAGGCCATGGTTTCATCGCCGCCATACTTTGGCGTTAACCCTCACCGACCACCCACAATGGTGGCCAAAGCCCTATAGAACCCAAGGCCCCAAGGCCGAAAACCCAAGACTTCCTTCCTAGCCTCTCATTTCTCTTCTTTCTCCCTTGGCCGAAAAGGCCATACCTTTACCTTTTTGCGCACTCTGGCACCCATGAACGGCCAAGCCTTCATTGGCCACCATCCATGGTGGCCACTAAAAACCGAATTAGAAAAAGAAGAAAAAAAACTAAAACAACCCCCTCTTCTAAAAGAACTAAACCGAACCCAGAAGCATGGAGAGAAGAAAAATTCTTTATTTGTTTTCTTTTTTATTTCTTTTGCAAAAACCAGGGGCTGCATCTTTTAGAAGCAAAGTTGGCTTAAAAGCTACAAATAGTACAATTACGAATTTGGTCCCTATATAAAATTAGGGTATTATACTTGCCCTAGCAGCGCCAATAGCGCCAGCCCACCACCAGCTGATGCTTTTGTTAAAGGATAATTAGATTGAGTGTCGTATGGAAGGAAGACTAGTGGAATTTATAGATTCGTTTAGATAAAGATGGATGGGACTGCAAGCTGATAATCTGGGTTCGATCTTTTTTTTTTTGGATTGTAATAATGCCGCAATTTTTGCAATGTTCTTCTGTAGATGCGCTATAAGGACAATGTCATATTATGGGATGACTTGTTCTTTTATCTTTACGTCACTGGCAAAGGTCAACTACCCATTCATTAATTGCTCGCCCTTTTTATTTTTACTTTTTAACTTAGCCTATAGATAGATTTAATATTCGGCACTTTTAAATTTATCGTAAATTACATCAAATATCATTGTAATTTAATTTTTAATTAAATTACAAATTGATACGATTATAATAATAAATTTATCAGTTAATCTATTAAAAATTGATAACATAATAATTTAATATTAACGTGTTTATACGAAAGTTTTTTTTATTTTACCTCATTATTTATTTCATTAAAAATATTTTTTTTTATTTTTTAATAGAAAACCATCACTCTCAATGTCTATTGCTAGCACTTTAGACACTGATAGTCACATATCATTATCTTTTATTACTTTTTCAATTTAAATTTCTTTTATGAGCTCTTTAAAATTTACATAATTAAATAAAATATATATATTTTCTTTTACAAGATTTTTGGAGGTTTTACAGATTTGAAAAAGATCTGGAGATTTGTTCAAGCGTGTCAAGGTATAGTGTGCATGGCATGCATCCATAAGGTACCGTGTGTGTGTGATATACGTGTGTCATGGAAGCTATTAGGTGAGGCAATTGGGCTGAGTGCAAAGGCTGTTAGAGATTAGTTTTAAAGCTGTTAGGATGTTTTAAAGTTAGTTACAAATGTGCTATAAGTATCAAGTGTAGCTAAGGTGTAAAGGTATCTCAAATTGCTTAATAAACAAGTTTTTGGTTTCAGTTTATATTTTTCCTGGTTTGCATCACTTCAATACGTAATATGGTATCATTTGCCGATAGTTCCTGAGGTTTCTTCCTCACTGTCTGCGCTTCGAGTGATCCATGGAGTTCACTGCTGGTAAAGCCTTCACAAACAATAAGGTTAATATCATTCTTGATGAATCCAACTTCTTACTTTGGAAACAACAGATTTTGTTAATTGTTCGCAGTCATCGCCTATAACGACTGCTAACTGGAGTTGCTTGTCCTCCTTCTGCCACGGTGATCAATGAGCGTGGTGATTCGGGGCCAAATCAATTGCACGAGGAGTATGTGGTGCAAGACAGTGCACCGGTGTCTTGGCTACTATCCACGATCAACCTTTACTTGGTGTCCCAGTTTGTTGGAGCGGAGACGACAGCGGCGGTCTGGAGTACGGTGTTGCAGTTCTTTTCCAATCGATCCACCACAACAGTCATTAGTCTTCACTACAAGCTTCAGACCCTCAAGAAAGGAACCGATAGCGTGATTGTGTATCTCACCCGCATCAAAGAAGTATGTGAGGCGTTGGATTCATGTGATAGTTCAATTCCACAGCCTGAGCATGTAGCAAGCATATTAAAGGGTCTTCCCGCGAGTATCAACCATACATTGCCTTCATAACTACCATGAAAGATGCCTTGTCACTGGACAATATCTACTCGATGATTATCGATGCAGAAACTCAGCTGGCCGGATTTGATGCTCAAGAAGATTCCCTTCCAATAAGTTCTCATATAGCTCAGTCTAATTCTGTCTTGAAATCTGCTGTCATGGCGTACATGATCGATTGTCTGGTCAGTCAGGGTCTGGTGCTGGGGGTAGATTTGGAGGTTATGGATGTGGTCGATCTCGTGTTCAGTGTCAATTGTGTGGAAAGAATATACACTTGGTTGTTGACTGCTGGTACAGATTTGATCAAACGTTCACTGGTAGGTCGTCTGATCGTGCTATGTCGTGTAATGACTCAGGGACAGTTAACTACTCCAGCCTAGATTCTGCTTCGAGTAGTATAGATGAATGTACATGTTGCACAAAGGCTCGTGTAGAAGCCCAAGTTTGTTATTCCTCACAACCACAGTGTCATGTAGCCACCAGAATAAGGGACCACTAGGTGGTTGATTCTGGGGCTACACACCATGTCACCTCAGATTCGGCCAAGATTCTTAATCAAAAGGATTTCTCCGGGCCAGGTAAGCTCGTTGTTAGTAATGGAGGCTCGTTTTCTATTTGAGCCATTGGTAATACTGTTTTTAGATCTTCTTCTCGAGCATTGATGTTGAATGAGCTGTTGCATGTTCCTAAGATTACTAAAAATCTTTTGTCGGTCTCTAAGCTTGCTAGGGACAATGGGGTATATTTTGAGTTTCATGCTTCATCTTGTTGTGTTTGTGATGAACATTCTGGTGAAGTGTTGCTGCAAGGAAATGAGAATGATAGTCTCTACACATTTCGAGTTGATTGCATTAATAATACACAACTTTCTTTTAAAGCAAATAATGTTGTTGCTACGCAAAAGTTGTATGAATTATGGCATAGATGCCTTGGGCATCCTGCACATGGGACCCTTGAGCAAATATGCAAGATGATTGATGTAAATGTTGAACAAGAAGTTAATGGAATTTATGTATGATGTTAGAGTATGCCCAAAGACCAATCATATGATGATTGTAATAATACTTTTATTTACCGATTTTATTGAATATAGGCATTGCCGCTATTATTTTCAGTTATATATATGTGTTTAACATAAACTGGAAGATAATAAAGTCTATATAATGACATAATTGTTATTATCAAAAGATCACTAGTCAAGTATTATTATGGGAAAGGGCAATAATAATACGCTTAAGACTAACATGTTATTGATTGATGACAACGAGTTGTAATTGACATAGAAATGTCAGAATTGATACATGATTATATTGTTAGAGAACAATGTATTGGATTGACCCACCATGAGCATATGTCTTGGATTATTATGTGACAGTCATAACATTGCTCATGGTGATGACTATATGTATGATCCTCAGACTTGAGATCAATAATATCCCAACATATATTGTTGTATGTTTTGATGCAACTAAACAAGCTCCGTCACTGGTTGCTCTATAAAGACTGTTATTGAATATATCTCAATATATATAGTGGGTGTGTATGATTTAAGATAGGATTTGTCCTTCCTACATAATAGGAAATATATCACAGACCACTTGATTGAGTAAGACTATAAACGCATGGCCATGCTCGAATAAGTTGATATGAGATATCATAAACTATTCGTTAATTAAAGTCTATTATAGATATCAAGAAACAATAGATGAGCTATACAAGTGTGACTATTCCAAGACTTGTGCCTATTCTAGATATAAAGGACATAAGGATGTAATACATAAAAGACTTAATCAGCAAGATGATATGTCGAATCATATTTTCTTGTAACTTAGGTGACAATGATAAATTGCTAGATGTCACTCATTGTATGTAATATTAGAATTGTTCTAATAATTACTGCTAACGTTACAAGAACCTACAGGGTCACACCCCAGGATTGAAACGAGCACAGATGTACAATTAGTTGTACGATACTAAAATATATCTAGAGTTAATTAAGTATATGTTTTAATAATCCCAAATATTTAATTTCAATTAATTAAATATAGATTTAATTAATTTTAAATGATAAAATCCCTAATATGATTAGGGTAACTTGGATATAAAAGGATTATTAAATTCTAATTAATTAAATATAGATTTAATTAATTTGAAATAATAAAAACCCTAATATGATTAGGGTAACTTGGCTATAAAAGGGTGTGTTAGCAGCTGTTTTCGGAGAACACACACAAAAACCTTCAACCATTTTCTCTCAAAATGGTTTTGGGGGAAAACAAAATTGCTCTCAATCGGGTGAACTGAGTAGAGGCTGAGACGTGATTTCGTGGAGGCTTACGATTCGAACCGATCTACACCACCAGTATTCACTGTTGTCTTTGCTATTTTTCAAGAAACCCACTGTAAGTATTTACATCTCTTTCTCCTTATTTAAGTTTTTCGTACTTGGATCGCTGGTAAGACCGTCAATTTTTGTTTCCGCTGCGCCATGGGGTGCACTGACAGTTTTAACTGTGGTATCAGAGCCACTTATACGATCTGAACTTGGGTTAAATTTTTGGTTGATGCGATATGTATTAGATACATGTTCTAGTTTTATCGATTTCGATAAATATGTTGATATCATTGTTCGAATTGATAACCACAACGATTAATATGTTAATTTGTTAATATGTTTTTCAATCGATTTATTGTTGGATGATATGTGGGAGTGCGATAGCAGATCGCATTTGGAAGTGGAACAATGGTTATTCCGATGCAGAAAACCTTCGGGATTGAAAATCCTAAAAGCACGATTCTGTTGATAATTGTTATCAAATCGTGAAGTACGGTCTGCGAGTCGTGCCTTTCTATATCTCTGTTTGTATTTCTCTTCTCTTCTTACTCCCTCGTATGCAAAACGAGTTTCTTTTAAAATTGTAAACCTATGAAGATTTACAAGGAGCAAAAGAATGGTGAGAAGATACCTAGAGATCAGTCTTAGGCTTTAGGGTTCTTGGTTCTCTCATTAGCTTGGGATGGGCCACCTTAGTCATTATTTTGGTCTATAACCATTGCATCTTATTTATTGTTATATTTGTTATGTATGCAATGCATCAAATGATAAAATAAGAATAAATATTGATGAGATCAATAAGGGTCTAATATTAAAACGAAAAATGATGAGATAATTACACAAATCCCTCTTAATAATCTAAGTTAACTTAACCGTCCAATATTTACCCTCGTTAAGGCTTTGATCGATATTGTGTGGGCTTTGCCAAAGCATTGGCACATAAATCTATCTTGGTTAAACACGAAGAATAAACAAGTGATATTCATCGGTTGAAACATTGGTAATAACTTAACTAGGTTATTCTAATAGGATTTGAAACCTAGAGGTTAAATATTTGGATAAGTCATGAGATGACTTGAACAAAAGTTGTTCACCAAAATGAGGAGTTATATGAGATGTAACTAGTCAAGTATTACTTTACCTAAATAATCACTATCCTAAAAGAAAAGCCAAAGATGATTTAGGAAATTGATGTATTATGGATCCTCACCCACTAGAAAAAATTTCGTTGAATTTTTCCGAAATTAAAACAAAGATGGTTTTTAATTTTGAATAAAATAGTGGGAGTAATTTGTAAATAAAGTCCTATTTATAAATTT